CAAAAAGGGCACTTGGGTGACTCAAACTTCTAACTTCCGCTCAGGTCATGATCTCATGGTTTGTGAGTTCCAGCCCCACCTTGGGCTCTGCACCGACATTGTAGAGCTTGTCTGGATTCTCTCTCTCTCTCTCTCTCTCTCTCTCTCTCTCTCTCTCTTGCTATTTGCCCCTCCCCCACTTGTGTGCTCACACATGCATGCTCTCTTTCTCTCTCTCTCTCTCAAAATAAATAAACAAACTTTAAAAAAGCCATTCAAGAAACTGAACATAATATATGTTTTTAAATAACTATTAAGAGTACAAATGTGAAATTGCTGTAGTGGTAGAGACTAATAGAAATGAAACAATAAAATCCATTAAAGGATAACTCAGGGACATTCAGTCTATAATGACTTGACTTTAAAGAGATGGAAAAAGAGCAGAAATTGAGATACTAGCTCCTGCTTATCTTAAATCAGAAATGCTAATTTTAATGACTTTTAAAACCCTTAAATATATCCTAGTGAACAGAAAGGGCTATAACTTAGAAACTATTATGTGAATTATAACATATATGCATATATATTCTATACACATATATACTTATTTTGATATTCTATGCATTTGGGGGGAAGGAACTGGGAATATGAACTGATCAGTTCATGAATCTTTCAATTACTTTATAAAAGACAACAATAATATAGCACACACTAGTGGGAAATCGTTTATAAAGATGCTACATATTGGACATTACTTATTCAAGGGGCCACACGTAATCACTGGACCCCATAGTAAGACTACTGCAATGTGGACTCTCTTGTGTCATTTGTCAATGTAATAGATAGGCTTTATTGTCACTCATGTTGAAAATTTTGATGAAAATATTATAATCAAGTTTCCTGGCTTTAGTACCCTAAGCAATAATTTGAGACTAATGCAAGATAATATTGTGAGGTCCCATGAGAAGAAGAATGAAAATGATAATGCCTGATGCTTGCAAAACCAAAATCATCTGTGGTACTGCATTTAATTGAACGGGCCAAACTTCCCAAAGCACTGTTCCTCACAAACTTTGCAGGAAGATGATGCTACGTGTTAGAAGTACAGGGATATCCCTATGATCCAGTAAATACGGAAACACTAAACTAAACCATTTTTTTAAAGTTTTTATTTATTTATTTTGAGAGAGAAAGAGCACACAGGGGAGGGGCAGAGAGAGAGGGAGAGAGAGAATCCTAAGCAGGCTCCTCATATCAGTGTATACCCCAACGTGGGTCCAGAGCCCAGGAATCAGGAGATCATGACCTGAGCTGAAATCAAGAGTCAGATGCTTAACCAACTCAGATACCCAGGAACCCCAAAAGAGTTTTTTTTTTTAACTATGATATTTCTCAAAGCTAAAGTATATTGAGAATCTTCAAAGAGGGGGATTATTATGTGCATTGTTTTCCAAAGTTACTTAGTCATAAAACTCTTACACAAAAATGACCCTATTACTCCACAAATTTCCAATGTCTTTGTGGCTTCTGTAACTATACTCAGTTGAGGATTTTCTTCTACTTCCTTTAAACCATTTTTAAATCTCTTTTGCTGGTTACTGCTCTTTCCTACAGCAGATTAATAGATTTCCGTGTCTGAAACCATCAGCTCTCTGCAAATACTATAAATCAGCATACTTCCAGAACCTCACACCAAATATTTGTTAGTTTCTAACTGCAGAGAAAGTTCCCCTGAGATGCCAACACCACCACAGGCTCATACAATTTACCTTTGCTCACCTAAGGAACCCTTCCAGAGAGTTTACCATGGCATGGGCTCAGAGCGAGCTGCTGGCGCTCTAAGGATTAACAGGATAATATTCCTATCTGTAAAAAAAGCTTAGTATAACATTTAAAACCCTGCTAGATCTGGGGGCGTCTGGGTGGCTCATTCAATTAAGCATCTGGTTTTGGCTCCGATCATGATCCTGCGGTTCATGGTTCCGAGCCCCGCATCGGACTCTGTGCTGACAGCTCCGACCTTGGAGCCTGCCTCGGATTCTACGTCTCCCTCTCTCTCTGCCCAGCTCCTGCTTACGCTCTGTCTTTCAAAAATGAATAAATGTTTAAAAAAAAAATCCCACAAGATCTGGCCCTGTCCTATCTCTCCTCTCATAGCACCCTTCCAAAAGTTTCTTCCTCCACTAGACTACTTTTTTTATCTTGAATATCTCATTGTGTTTTCTATATGAGTAATGCTTCCAGGCTTCATTCTTTATGTTTTCTTTGTTTTGCACATATACACATTCCTTTGCACACAATACATAGGCAACAAAGGGCAATGCCATTGGAATTAATCATTCCTTCTCCTGAGTTTTGACTTGCCTCAACTTTTGCTAAAACACACCTGTTTTTCCTTACTATATACCTTGTATTACAAATGATTATTCACACATCTCTCTTCCCTACCAGACAGAGCAACTTGAGGATAAGGACTATATTATTCATTTTTGTAGCATTGTAATGTCTAGCACAGTGCTTTTTTCAGAGAAAACACAAACGTTTACTGAATTAGTAATTTTGATCAAGAAAACAAGTATGCATTTTACTATATTCAGATCAAGTGTACATATAGTGATAAACAGATTGTATATGTAAATGTGTGTTTAAAATGAACTTGACAAAACTTGAAAAATTTGCCAAGTGGTTTTTTTGTTTATACTTTTTGTGTGTGAAACTGTTATTTTCCTTGTGTTAAATGACACCTACCCACTTGTAGGTAGCACCTGATTTAATCTTAACATCATACTATGGAATTAGCAATATATGAAATTCAGATCTACCTTTAATGTCATTATAATTTACAAATGAGCAAAGATAATTTTCTTCAAGTCACGACCACCTCTAAAACAAACTTATTTTCATCAAATGATTTTAAGTATAAAATTTTGTTATTATCCTTACTTATTTTAGATATTTGTCAGTGATCTTCATATTGGAAACAAGTAAATTTGCCTGGCATTAAAATGGGTAAGAACTCGAAAATGATGTGGATATAATGGGGAAACTACCATGAAACCCTGTTGTTTGCTTTTTATTTCTAAAAAAGAACTTAAGAGCTCTTAGGAGCACTTAGGAGCTCACTAAGGAATGGAAAAACAAAAAAGTATTGTCATGGTATATTCAAATCACCCAGTCTTTTTTTTGTTAATGTTTATTTATTTATTTTGAGAGAGAGAGAGAGAGAGAGAGAGAGAGGAGAGAGCAGGGGAGGAGCAGACAGAGAGGGAGAGAATCCCAGGCAGGCTTAGCTCCCTCAGCCCAGAACCCAACAGCAGGGCTCAATATCACAAACCGTGAAATTATGACCTGAGTCGAAATCAAGAGTCAGACACTTAACTGACTGAGCCACCCAGGAGCCCTTCACATCACCTAGTTCTATGTAGGAAGAAATTTAATTCATGATTTTTGTCAAATAAAAAATTAAATGGTCTAATCAAATGAAAGACATTAGCATATTTGATTCATTTTGGAATTAGCATTACCCATTAGTGACTGTACTCGAATCAAAATGTCTTATGCCAAAGTAGGAAAACCACATTATCCAGTAAACATATTGACATACTATTCATTTTTGGAGTTAAATAACAAATTTCAACTCTCATTCATTAAGAAACTGCTAACTGCTTAACTTCTCTGTTACTCAAGTTTCTCCCATTAAAAAAAAAAAATAACACTGTAGCTATTTCTTCCTTTAAGGAAGCTGTGGAGATAAGTAAAACACATGAGCAAAAGAATTTGGAAACTGCAAAATAAGTACATACGCATTTCTAATATTAAATCCTTATACCCTGCATTCCTAGAGCTCTTTGGAGTTTTCCTAGAACTTATATTTTGATGTATAACAGGAATTACTATATTATACTCCCTTTACAGATGAGAAATGTAGGAATGAAGAAGCCATTTGTCAAACATGGTGCAACCAATGAGGCAAGAGTAGAAGTAGTAGAACCAAAATGCCTAACCCATTTCCCCACTATAATCAATTGCATAATGTTATTCATATTAATCCATGAGGATGATACAAAAAACATATTGTAAGACATATGAGGGGAGACATAAATATACACAAACCAGTGAAAACAATGGAAAGTCTTCAGAAAGTGATCAAAATAGTAACCTCCCCTACTTCACCAAATACACATATGTCTAAAGATGGCTATTTACAGGTCAGTGCGACAGCCTGCCCTGAACTTGGCTTACCCCACTCACTTCTCTTGCCATCATTTTATTCTACTTCTTCCCAGTCTTTGTTGTTTTTAATGAACTGTAGGAATAGGCTACTTTTCACAATAGATATGAGGTTCTACACATGTACCAGGGTAGATGGAAAGACCTATTTTTCCCCAAGAGGATGTCCTGACATGGTTCAGCAAATTGCAGCTCTTTGACAGGCTGGACTTGAAACAGAGCAAGAAACATGCTATGTTCCATGGCAGTGCCTTTGGAAATCAAAGTCTTCTGATGGAGAGTTTTATTTTAACTCTGGTCATACCTTTCAAATAGAATAGGTTATCTTTGTTTCTAACTTAATTATCACATGCTATAATGTATGCCTTTTTTTTTATATTTTTTTTTTTTAAATTTTTTTTTTTTCAACGTTTATTTATTTTTGGGACAGAGAGAGACAGAGCATGAACGGGGGAGGGGCAGAGAGAGAGGGAGACACAGAATCGGAAACAGGCTCCAAGCCATCAGCCCAGAGCCTGACGCGGGGCTCGAACTCACGGACCGCGAGATCGTGACCTGGCTGAAGTCGGACGCTTAACCGACTGCGCCACCCAGGCGCCCCATGTATGCCTTTTTAATCTTACTCTGTTTTCTCCCAAATTATACAAAGAGCATTTCCTACGTATTTACTATATTCCTAACATAATGTATAAATACATACATAAAATAAAAAGGGAAATTATATTTATGTGTGTGTGTGTATGCACACCCACAATTTATACATATATAGGTTGATTACATCTATCTCCTCCATAAGAATATAAGTATGTAAGCAAAATATTTGTGATATGTGGCAGCCCAGGGTGACTCAGGATGGCCCCCAGTGATCTCCACTTTCTGATATTTATATGCTTGTGTAATCCTTTCCCCTTGAATATGGACTAGCCTGCACATTTGCTGCTAACCAATAGCATGTACTTCCATGACTGTCTACATAAGATTATTTCTGTCTTACTAGCTGGTTCTATCTCTTGCTAAATTTGACAAGGCCAGCTGTCATATTAGTGGTACTCGTTTGAAAAGGAATTGAGAATGGTTTCCAGCCAACAAAGAAAGATTTGGGGCCCTGACTCAACAGGCCATGAAGGGCTGAATCTTGTCAACAATCATGTAAATGAATTTGAAAATTTGAATCCTTCCCCAGTTGAGCCTTCAGATGGGACTGCAGCTTTGTCTAACAAATTAATCACAGTCTTGTGAGAGACTGTGAAGCAGAGAACTGAGCTAAGCCATGCCCAGATTTTTGAGACACAAAAGCTGAGATAATAAATGTGTGTTGACTTAAGTTTCTAAATTTGTGGTAATTTTTTCACACCAATAAATAATTAGTACAGGATTAAATAGATATTTGTTGAAGGATAATTGATGCTTGAAGACCTTTAATTATCTTTGGAAAAAATACTAGATTTATACTCAGTTCACCTGGGATTTTGCCTTAGTTCAATTACATATTAGTTATGCAAACTGGCCAAATTGTTTTTTCCTCCCTGGAGGTCAGTTTGTTCATCTGTTAAGTTAGGTAATTAAGTGAGACGATATCTAACATCCCTGCCAGCTTCAAGATTTCATATACATTTGAGTTTATTTTCATTCAAATCTGTCAAACAGAAGAGAACCAAATAGAATAAAATAATACATATTTAGTTATAAATTTCATCCTGAGACTAAATTCATGCTACCTTCTAGAAAACAAAGTCTTGGTTTATAATCCATCTATCTTTAATACACTGATATTTGGTTATCTCATGAAAAATATTTAGTAAAAAATATGTCTGCCTCAAATATTTAAATATTTTGCATTGTGTAGATAAACACCTTGAATTTTGAAAGTAGATTCCAATGTTTATCTAAGTGATTAGTCCCTTGAAAATACTGAATTGAAATTTCTAAAAATTATTGTTCACAAAATGCGTGCATTTTACAAAAAGAAAAAGGAATTTAAATTTAGGAGATAAGATTGAACTATCACTTAGAATCCATATTTGTTTAACATCAAACAATTGGCAAATAAATTTAGCATACTATATTTATAATTTAATATTTATGTAATCCTCCAAAATACATAACATTACATTGATATTCTAATTGATTTGGGGGGAGTATATTATTAAGATACTTTTGATCTTCGATGGCTTAAAATATCAATCAAGATATATGCATTACCTTTCTTCTTGAAAAAAACAAATCCTGAATTTGAAATTTCTAAAATTAGTGCTCGCTTCGGCAGCACATATTCTGAAATTTCTAAAATTAATCCAAAGTGTACTGCTGGTCAAAAGCTATAAGCCAAATATATTGTGCCAGTTTCCCATCGCTATAGTAACAAATAACCACAAACTTAGCTGCTTAACATAATATCCATTTAATATCTCCCAATTTCCAAAGTTCAAAAGTCTTGGCACAATGTGGCTCAAGTAGGTTTTCTGGTTAGGGTGCACAAGGCTAAAATCAAATTGCCAGCAGGGTTGCATTATTTACTGGAATTCAACATGTTGGCAAAATTCTTCTCCCACTGTTCACGTGCTCCCCCCAAGTTTCAAGCTAGCAATGGGTGGCAAGTCCTTCTCACACTTCAAATCAGTCTTTCTCTTCCGTCACATGTCTATGCTTTAAAGATTTGTGAGATTACATTTAGCCTACCTGGATAATCCAGGATAATCTCCCTATTTTAGAGAAAACTATTTCCAAAAGTCTCTTTGCCATGTAATGTAACATATCCATGAGGATGACTGCAAGTGGTAAAGTTCTTGGGGTTCCAAATTCTTCCTACCACATATGGGAATACTCTTCATCATTTTCTAACATTTCCAGATGCTCTATTATTTTAAGTATTTAGTTTTATTATTCTTTTTTATTATTCAATTTTACATGTAAGGCCAAATTAATTTTTATGTACAGGAAATGTTGAATGCATATAATCAGTCAGCTACCTGACACCCAAAATATAATCTTTTAAAGTTTATTTACTTATTTTGAGAGAGAGAGAACACAAGCAGGAGAGGGGTGGTTAGAGAGGGAAAGAGAGAAAGAGAGAATCCCAAGCAGGCTCTGCGCTGTCAGTACAGAGCTGGACATGGGGCTTAAACTCATGAACCATGAGATCATGACCTAGGCCAAAACCAAGAGTTGGACTCTTAACTGACTGAGCCACCCAGGTACCCCCGCAAAGTGTAATCTTTTAAAGTAAAAAGAATGATTATATAAACTATAAAAGGAAAAGTTACCTTTTGCCACTGTCTTTGTTTCCGGTTTTTCTTTTTTCTCAATTTTTTCCTTGTGAGTTGCTTAAACAGAAAAAATTTATATTAGTACACACTTTAAATAGATTTCAAGACCAAGCTTTCTCTTTATCTCAGCTTTATAGCCACCAAATTATGTACGATTTTGAAGATTGATGATATTAATGAGACTGATTTAGAAATAAGAAAAAATTACCAATATAATAACAACTATATAAAATCCAATTTAAAAGACTTGGCATAAAGATTTAGAAAGCATTTTGAAAGCTAACCTCACTCTCCTTTTTAAAGTTATTATTCTAAATAGATTAAGTTTTCAAGAAAGATAAACAGAGAGAGAGAGCAGTTTTATAATAATTTGTCAAAAGATATTATATTATCATGATGAAACACTTTCTTTATGATTAATTAAAATAAATATTTCAATCCAAATTAGAGCTTGGATTAAGAGCAGTGTTTCTCAACAAGGACGTAATTGACATTTGGGGAAAAATAATTTCTTACTATAAGGGACTGTCTTATGTGTTGAAAAATGCTTAGCATCTCTGGTCCCTGCTAACCAAATGTCCTCCACTCCAATGACATTTTGACAGCCAAAAAGTTTTTTTTTTTTTTTTTTTTTTTTTTTTTTTTTTTTTTTTTTACCCAAGTAAGCCCTAAGAAATAGCATCTTTGGTAGAGAATGACCAAAAAAAAATCATAAATTATATAATCATAAATGATTACTGATCGAGTGCAGCTTCTTAAACGAATAGTATTTGACATACTTGAAACATTATACCTTCTCACTGTTTATGTAACAAATTAATAAATCAATATAAATTTATTTTCCTAGCTTCTATGAAGTAAAGGTGCTCTGAGACATACAGGAGCTTGTGCAGGTTAGTCATAATTCATTAATCTGTGTAATTTGGTAGTTTCCCAAATCACCACACAATTTACAGCATTTATGTATTATTTATTGGAGAATAATGGGAATTAAAGAAATTATAGAAAACTAAATGAAAAAAATAAGAGATTTAATTAAACAGGTGGGTTAAAGAACCAAATTTTTCACATTAAAAATGAGAGTCCCAATTATTTCCATTTCTCCAACTATAAAATAATAACATTAATGTCCATCAACTTTACTTGTATTATAAAAGACAAAATGTGCTTCAATATGTATTTAACAAACTATTGTTTTAAAACACAGTTGATGAACAGTTTCCCCAGAATCTTGGAGGGATAAGGCAAATCTCACAGAAAGCTTCTCGCACGATGCTCAGTTGAAGACCAAGTGACCCCTGCAGTTGCAAGTTCACCGAGAGAGAGCAGATGACACCCCTTCCAGGGTTTCAGCCTTTCTACCTCTCAGCCTGCCCCACAGCCATTCCCACTACCATTTGGAATTATGGGGAAGAGCCTGGACAGTGTTAGGTGAAGGAGCATGATGCCAAGCCAAGAAAGGCCCAATTCACATAAGGACATGGGGTTGCAGTGTAATGACTTACTTCATAAAAAGCAAACTTCTTTAATTGGTATATAATGAAGTAAAGGACACTTACAATAAAGTATTTTATTCTGCTTTCCAATATGAAAATTTCCTGTAATGTTTCTAATTTGAGTGACAAATTCTTGATTATTTTGTAATACAAATATTTAGCTGCTGTGAAAGTTGAAAAAAATCATATGAAATATCAGATTATTTCATTTAGTCAGAGTATAAAGAACCTAATGCCAATAATTCCGCATAACTTAACAGTAGAAGGGAAATAGACACCTGTTTCTAGAACAAAGAAGGTAGCTGTATTGAAATTAGTATATATCATCACTGAATAAACACTAATAAACTAATAACTATTTAATTCAAAATTTTAAATATGAGTATAGAATAAAGAAGATTGAAACATGTTCCCATGGATCTGATTCCTAAAATATTATAAAACATTCTATCTGACTGGAATGTTGCACAGGAAATAGCACAGCAGTCTATGCATATTGTGGACATATGAATCAGCTGAAATCTAGCACAAAGATCCTAGACATGATCCACTCTAACACAAGAGCAACAAAAAAATGAAATTGGAGATTTATTTCACATCATACATTGAAATGGATTTTTTGATGATTTAAGGTTACATGTGAAATATGAAACTAAATTTAAAAACTTAAGGAAATATTAGCAACTGTTGAATTAATTTTTGAATGAAGATTCAAAAACAGAAACACCAAAAGAAAATAAAACATATCTAGCCATATAAAAAGTCAAGAATCTAAACACACACACACACACACACACACACACACACACGTATATACACATATATGCATTCACACATATCCACTCACACAGAAATCCTGAAATTAATTATGAAACCTGAGGAAAATATTTGAAAAAGTGACAGACCAGGAAAATATACCCAAATGACATGCACACATATCATCAGGAGAAATGAGTAATAAGTGTGAATATTTACATAAGAAAAATGTATTATTAAAATCATTCTTAAATCCTTAAATCTACAAATAATAAGTAGCTAAAAGATATAGTAGAAGAAAATATCTCCATTTACTCATTTTTTAAATTATGTTTTTTAATGTTTATTTTTGAGAGAGACAGACAGAGCAAGCATGGGAGGGGCAGAGAGAGACAGAGACACAGAATCGGAAGCAGGCTCCAAGCTCTGAGCTGTCAGCACAGAGCATGACATGGGGCTCGAATCCACGAACCGTGAGATCATGACCTGAGATGAAATCGGACACTTAACTGACTCAGCCATCCAAGCACCCCAAGAAAGTACCTCCATTTCAATACCATGAAGCTTTTATTTTAAAATGAGGAAAACACCAGAGTGCCTGGGTGGCTCAGTCAGTTAAGCGTCCGACTTCAGCTTAGGTCATGATCTCTCAGTTTTGTGGGTTCAAGCCCTGCATCAGGCTCTGTGCTGACAGCTCAGAGCCTGGAGCCTGCTTCTGATTCTGTGTCTCCCTCTCTCTCTGCTCCTCTCTCCCCTCTCAAAAATAAATAAACATTAAAAAAAATGAGGAAAATACCTATTTACTGATATGGAAAGGTCTTTAACATATATTATTAAATTATAAAAGCCAGAATATAGGACACATTATATTTTGTGTAAAAAGTGGAGAAACAGCAAGCTATATTCTCTTATAAATGCATATTGAAGTTTTGAAAGATGCACATAAAACCCATAAAAGGGGTTTGCTGTGTGTACGTGTGGGTAGGATAGAATGCTACTGGAGGGCTGAGAACCAGGCGGGAGGAAGCTTTTCATAATGTATCTTTACCTACTGAACAATGAGTCTATATTACAGATTCTAAACAAATACATAAAAATTAATTCTTTAAATTCCAGTCTTATAGGTAATTAAAGAATGCAAGTTAAAATAATGAGTATACTTTCTCACCTATCAAATCGAAAAAATATTTTGTGAAATAATATCTTCACTGTTAGTTAAAGCGGTCTCACAACTGCCAGGGGAAAAATGAATACATTTCTAGAAAGTAAATTGGTAACCAAGTTGGAGTCTCAAATATTTTATTTACTTCAGCCTATGAATTACTCTTTATAGATTCAATTCTAAGGACAATATCAAAATATAATTTTAAAAATAAAATCTTACGTAAAGAAGAAGAGGTCAAAGAGGGAGGAACCAGTGTGTAAGGACAGCAGTAAGAACAATTCCATACCTTTCTTTTCAGCTTTTTCTTTTTCTTTTGGTTTTTCTTTGTGTGTAACTGGAAAGAAATAGACAATATTTTTCACTTAAATAAAAGAATAAATAATAAGATGTTTGCATGGCAATTTTTGATGTCAAAAACTTGTCTGCTGCTTTTGAAAATCTTTTTTAACTGGAACGAAGTTTTACATAGTTAGATGTTTAAATATTAAGATAATTATAAATTTTTTATTTCTATTTTTATTTCATACCCAAGCACAAACTTGTACCAAAACCAGGTGTGATTGCAAAAGTAAGAATACACCTCAGCTTTTTCAAATCCTTAACTTCAATTTAAGTAGAAAACTTTAAAAACTTATGCCATATGCCAGAGGATCCTAGCTCGATACGAGAGAAACACTAAAATATAAGGACAGAAATGCAGAGAGATAATTTTCTGAATCTGATGCAAAGTATAATCAAACTAAATTACATATGTTACTCTTCTACAGAAACGTTCCCCACCCAAAATTTTTGAAAATATTCTGGTATGAGATTAGAATGACACCAAATCCCCTTACAGAAAACTACATTTAATTTACTCTGAGCTGAGATCCAATTAGTTAATACAGGAGAGCTCAAATTTAAGTCAAAAAATTTCCCCATAATTTAGTCATAACTCTTATTAATGGCACGTCCAATTGTCAGTCTAGAAACGTGGGAGTCATCTAGGATTCATCTTTTATTTTCCACTTCTGTTCATTTGCCAAACTCTTTCAATCTACCTTTCAATATACCTCTTACCCAACTTTTTTTTTTTATCCAATATTGCATTCTCTACTTGTCCTTTATTTACACAAAAATATAGAAGCACATGCTATGTGCTAAAGACTGGCAAGATAGACTCTATCCCTGTCATTGTGATGTCAACAAGTGGATGAATAATGGAGGCTAAACAAATAACTGCAAAGGTAGTTAATTGCAGTTGGTATAAATGCAGAAAAAATTTAGGGTGGCATTCAGAGACCTACAGTAGCCTGTGTATTACAGGAGTATCCCTTAGTAGAAGTGACATTTAAGAATGTGAAGATGAGAAGAAATTAACCTAGTAAGGGAGTTGGGAAGAGAAAAGGAAAGAGACCATTTCAAAATTTGGAGCAGAATGCCCTTCTTGGTATATCAGTATTACAAATATTATTATAATAACATTAACTATTCTCTTGAACCTTTAGATTTAGATCTTTCTCTCTCAGAGTAACCTTTCTAACAGGAAATTCTGATTATACTTTTGACCTGTTACAAATATTAGTATCTCCCTCATGGCTTAACATGTTATCTATTACATAGTAGGTGTTATATGAAATATAAAAATGTTACTGCTCTAATGATTTGACATTTGCATGTCAATCCCATCCTATCTACTTGAATTTCCCCTTGAACTTTACATTCCACTCATATCAAAACAAGTGCAGCTGCAAGCATGCCCTCCCCTCTACCTGCCTGTGCCTTATACTCGAATCCCCACTCTCACACTTCCTCTTGTCAATGCACCTTTTCAGTCCTGACACAGTTGTTCCTCCTTGTAAAGTGTTCTTTGATCTCTACTTATTTTATACACCAACTGAACCATGTGCATAATTCCATTTTAGCAATCAAATAATAATATTGCTAATGTCAGGACACCTAAGTGGCTCAGTCGGTTGAGCTTCTGACTCTTGATTTGCGCTCAAGTCATGATCTCACCGTTCATGAGATCAAGCCCCACATTGGGCTCTGAGCTGACAGCGTGGAGCCTGCTTGGGATTCTCTCTCTGTCTCTCTCTGTCTCTCTCTCTCTCTCTCTCCCTCTCTCTCTTTCTCTCCCTCTTCCCCACTCACACTCTCTCCCTCTCTCTCAAATAAATAATGAATAATAAATAAATAAATAAATAAACAAACTTTAAACAATTTTTTTTTTCAACGCGACATTTTGGGACACAGAGAGACAGATAATGAACGTATGAGGGCAGAGAGAGAGGGAGGCATAGGAATCGAACAGGGCTCCAGGCTCTATCATCAGCCTGAGCCTCGACATCGCTGGGCTCCCGGAATTTCAATGGACCGTGAGATCGTGACCTGCTGTTTGACGCTTAACCGACCGCGCTCACCCAGGCGCCCCAATAAATAAACAAACTTTTAAAAATGTTGCCATTGTCCATATATCTGACTTCCTAGTAAGTGAAATCTCTTTAAAGACTATAGCATGTTGGGGCGCCTGGGTGGCGAGAGAAAGAGAAATGGTTGTTGCCTCTATTTGCCAGGTCATCATCTCGCTGGTCCGTGAGTTCGGCCCTCCCAACAGGCTCTAAAGTTGATGGCTCGGTGACTGGTTTGCTCTCATTCTCTTGTACCTCTCCTCTCTGCCCCCTCTCCCATCTATGTTTGCCCCTCTCTGTCCCAAATAGCCAAACGCTTGAAAAAAAAAAAAATTAAAAAAAAAAAAAAAAGACTATAGCATGTTATTTTATTTTTGTACCCTTGGCTGATCACTTGTCTGCCCCATAGTGGAGTTTTAATAGACTTTTTTGGAGTAAGCCAAATTCTAAAACATTATAAGAAAAACTGCTTTCATCTTCTAGTACAATTCTATTTATTAATGATATGGTATAGATATTATAAGCACTGCTTGTGTTTGGCCATTTAAAAATTTTCTAATTTATCAAAATTTCTTAAATAATTAAACCCCAGTGAAAAACAGAGGGGAAAAAATACACCTTAGAACATCTAGACATTATTTTTCCTTATATTTAATAGTCCTTTTAGGTGTTTCTGAGTTACTAAATTCAATATAAATATCTCACAAAAGAAAGAGAGGACATCAGCATTCACACATGACCACAAATAGCTTATATTGGTTCTTTTGGACCACTATTAATTAAGCTAAAAATTAAAAGAGAATCTTGGCAAAAACAAAGCCTCTTTTAAAAGTTCTCTAGAGGGAACCAAGTTTGCATGAGATAAGCTGTGCTTTTGGAACCTGATTGGCAAGATTCTCAAGAGAACACCTAATCTGTGTCTATGCTCCTGTGAAGGACCAGACCTCACCCACCTTGGACAGCTGGTTGTCCATTCCACTAAAGGATTTTCTGGCTGACGTGTGCACAGGCATAAATGGAAGAATTAATACAAAATCAAAAGAGCAAGGGGGCTGAATTCAGACTCAAATTAGCATAGTAATGCCTCGTTCCTGTTACCCTGGGGGAAAATCTGGTTCCTCACAGTCTAAGTTTTGATTTACAGACACAGTCCTGTATGCTGAAATTTCATTATCCCCCTCAGAAATGGTACCATAACATTGCTCAGTGAAACAGCTGGACCCCTGTGCTCTAGGGAGCTGTTCAAAATGGCAGACAGCCAGTAAAGCTTCTTGGATGAAAACTTCAAACTTTGGCAAGACTGAGCTCAAATACCAAGTTTAAAGTTTCTTTTATCAAAACAATGCAGCCATCAGTAACTGACTTAATAATCACTCTAAGATTAAAAAAATAATTTTCTACAAAAAACTGTTTACTTGTGTACCTCTTTGCTTAGACACTACAAACTGACAGTTTTCAACTGCAAGAAAAAAGTACCTTCCTTTCACCAGCTCTGTTTGGCAAGTTACATCTTAGCCAGGACAGTTTTAGCTCAGGACAAAATAAGCTTGTTGCACCTGCTGGAGCTTAATTTGCTTGTCATCCTTATTTACAAGAAACAAAAGTCTCTTCAGTATACTGATAATTAAAAACAAATGGAATCCACCAGTTGGAATGGCCCTGATGTTTGGCATCAGAGCTGGCATGGCCCTGCTGTTCCTGCACTTGCCCAGACTCTGACCTTTCCCTGACCAGAACATTCAGCTCAACTTAACTCTGCAGCAGCCTCTCGCCCACCCCATGTGGTCCCTCTCCAGCATTCTGCAAGCTGTGCTCTGTGCTTTTACAGAGTGTGGCCCTGGCAACCTGCCGGACAAGCCCTGTGTCCTTTTCTGAATGTACCAGAGCTCACAGTGCACCTGACTCTGAGGTTCTTATCAGGCAAACCCTCCCTAGGGGCCAAAACTGTAAGGATTCAGTGCCAGACTGCCCGAGTCCTTTTGCTGATCTCTCTGTTCTCAGTTGGAAAAAATCAAAAGTTTGGTGCTAAATTTTTTTTCAGTACTGATGTGCCTAGGCTTTAGTCAACACTAAACAGTGTCAGATATACTCTTGGTTAGTATGTATGTCTCTGTATGTATGTATTTATCTATTTATTTTGTAACTAATTTGTAGAATTTCCATTCTGTGTTAAGGCAAGATGATCTACACATTCTAAGTGGTAATGATGGACTCAATAGAAAAGCACTCCTGAGTAGAGAAACTTGTCAAAGATTATATTACTCATTTTTCCTAAAGGACAAATTTATCATTTTTTATTTAAAATAAGCACACAATTTTAGAGCTGATAGGAGCAGTTAGCCTGAACTTCTTTGCCCCTGGATAAGAAAACACTGCCTCAAAAGAGGCTATGGCAGAGGAGAATAAGAATACAGTGTGATCAAATTGCCAAACTAGTACTCTTCCCCCAACTATGCTACCTTGTCCATGCAGGTCCTGTGCAGACTAGAAACTTGTTCTTATGAGCCAAGGTGTCTGGTTGGACTCTCCAAGCTTGTTACCTACAATCAATCCTGCAATAATATACATGCTTCTTTTTCATAATAAAATTACATTTATTTATGCATTAAAGTGCAGATTAGGCAAATTGCCCCAAATTACAATATCATCTGATAAATGCTCTAAATCACAAAGTACATATTTAAATTCCAAAATATTGGTTTTACTGTGAATTCTGATTTAATTGTATGGGTAATTTCCCCTTCACCTGGGGCTCCAGAACTGTAATCACTTCCTCAAAAGTGAGCAATCACTATGGAGGAGGTGATGCATAGATATTTGTAGATATCTCATTTCCAGGTTTATCTTTCACAGCTGTCAGAGAGAAAAAAGAAAATATATTTTGTACTTTAAAGAGTCAATTAAGTATGACTGAGAGAAGGCAAAAATAAAAGTTTATACAATA